ATTATATTATGAATTCCTTAATGAGAATACTTGAAGTCTCTAGGCCTAGCAGCCTGAGAATAATGCGGATGCCAAGTCTCATATCTACCGCTTTGTGTGGGTATGCCCAAGGAATTTGGTGCTGGAATGTGTGGAATTTTTATGAACTGAAGAAAACATAACAAAAAATTATAATTTTATGCGACATGTTTCTATTTGCATGCAAGCATACACAAAGACTTATGTATTTGGGTTGCTGCCGCATTTATTTTATGGAAATTCTCTAACAACACTTTCTCAGCAGGCATTTGCGTGCTGTCATACCCTATAATTTAAGGCATAAGTCGCTTTGTTCAATCTTCAAACTATATTTGTAATTTCATGTGTTGTTTTATCGGCACATTAAGAAAATATTTTGGTTTCTGCTGCACTTGTCGTTGATTTCATGTTAAAATGACAGAAATCCCCAGGGCTTACGACATTTTGGACAATCCGAACTTGGTAGCACCGCTGCCCTATCTGAACTTTTTGCGTTATCTAAAACGCAAGCACCCACGTTTTGGGTTCCGGCGCCTGCTGCAGGAGGCGCCCGCGCAATGGGATGCACTGAGCAAAGGACAAAAGAATCTATTTCAAAAGCAGGTGAGCGCATGTCCAGCATAACCAGTCTTCACTGTATTGTGTTATTTTTAATGCAACATCTCTCAGCGCATCCTGGCAAGAATTGCACGCTCTACTCGCGCTCGCCTCCGCCGCGTCCTGCAACGAAACAGGGCAAGTCCGCGAAAGCGTAATGTAGTCCGACGTCCCATATACGGCAAGCGTCCGCGGGCGTCCCGTATACGCAAACGGGCACGTTAACTGTAATTATCTTTAAAATCTACAGATATTAAGAGTTATAGTTTATGGATTCCCAAAAAACTGGACCTAGTCGAAAACAAACATTAATCCAAAGCTGAAAGTCTGAAAACCTGCAGTGAAAATGACGTTACAAATTTAACTAGTGCATATTAAAAATGTTTATCACAAACACACAAATATTTCGGAGATAAACATGCTTACATATATACAATTAATCAGTTTGCTTCCGAAGTAAAGTTGACAACAATATTAATAAATATAAACATAAACAAAAGTCATCGAACAGGCATTTCCAGTTCGGGCAGCTTACTTTGGATCGATTTTATATACCAGACGAGGAGGATTTCGGTTCCGCTCAACTGGCGCTTGGGTAAGTAAACGGAACAGAAGACAATGTAGACATGGGTGCCGCCAATCCGCATATGATATGCAAACACCTGACGATGGCTTTCACTTTTGCATGCTTCATGCGTCTCTTCGCCTATTGCAACATGAGAAAGACGCAGAAAGAAAATCCATTTCATTTTATTTTGTGCCACACTGGTTGCAGCTGAGAATTGGTTAGGATGCACTCAACAACAGATTTTGAAGTCTAGAAGAAACATTGGATGCATGTGAACTTTTTAAGTAGATAATAAAGTCCCAAACAAAAACTCAATTTCAATTTTAATTCCACAAAAAAGACGTCAAATTCCACGAAAGGTCAATCCGTGAACTAAGATTCACCAACGCTAAGAATAGGAATAGTTCTAGAAATGTTAGGTAGGCTTCATAAAATCTATAAATTTTCAAATTGTATTTTTTTTCGATTGGAACAGACAGCCTAATAGACACTAAAAGAAGACTTTCAACTTGTGAACAGAGAATGTAAGCCTGATCTGAACTGTCACATATAGTCTTTTTACAGTCAGGCAAATGGCAAATGGATCTCCTTATCTGGCGCCTATTTCACACTTTAGCACAATTCTGCTATGCTAAATAAATAATGTTGTAATTTCTTATAAACAAAAACACGAAAAAAATGTCTGGTGATCTGAAATTTGTTCTGCTCTGGTCTCTCTGGTCAAAAACAATGGCTTTCGCTTGTTTGTTACTTGCCCGCACATGTGCGCCACAGAAATTCTCTACATAGGAATTTGATCCCCAACCTCGCTGCTCATTTTATCGCCTCATAAACAATCTTTTGCTCTGCCTGACCGACTACTACTTTGAGCACAATGGAAAACAACATCAATAAATGCAGCAGGGTGCGTAATCCAGCAGGAATGCGGGAAGGGACAGCTCGCATACTCTCACACTCTCATACTCTCATACTCATTGCAGCAGAAGTACAAATGAAGCGAACCATTCGGCTGCACCGTTATACATGCGGTGCATACAGTGCTCGTCACTTAAATAGGGAAGAGGAAAAGAAAAGTGTGCGCAGTGTTCAATAAAATATTTCAATAGGCAAACGGGCTGCCAAGTGAGTGATAAGAAACGTTTAAATATAATTCCATATGGCTTCAAATTTATGAAAACGTTTTTGAATAAATTTAAACTAGAAACTCAACGTTGCATCTAAGACCCTTACTTAGACAGGGATACAAGTTATTTTTTTTTATTTTTAATTCACATTTTTAAAGAAATATAATTTTACTGTGCATCTTAATTCGTATTGAAACTAAATTAGCAAGCAATACATAATATTGGCAAACTGTTCGAAGTTTCAACTACTTGATTACAGTATTGCAATAACTTTATAATTGTAGTAGTTAACTGTCACTGCGGTTAACAGTTAGAGAGAAGTTGGTATTTCATCAATCAGTCATTTTTCGATTTTTATATTCGTTATATAAAAACAAATGCTCGAAGCAATAACCGATTGATTGACTGTTAATGTATTGCCTTATCGTCTTATGCTTTTATTACGAAATGTATAAGATATGTTAGTTAAGATCTCTCAACAGGTTCGTATATGTTTAAAAGGGTACTTGTAATTCGGAATTCCTCTCTTTTGGCTTCTTCAAATTGAGCGCCTCTTAAGTGGCCAATTGATAAATGGAATTCGAATCAAACTGAGTAGATCAGGTGGAGACTAAAGCGACAGGTTTCAAACTGACTCTGACTATCGACACATTTAAGTCGGAAATCATTAGTTGAAATTCCAAACTGGTTCGCTTTTATGACGACTTTTGGATGGGACAACAAACAAAATTTGATCGCTTCGCGTGTTTAACTCTCTGTTACTGCCAGTTGAGCAACAATTTTTTTAAAGTGTTGGTCAATTTTGTCTAAAAGGGGGACTAAGACAATCTAAGCGCTTATGTCACTTTGCCATTTTGAATTGTTCGCCATATTATATCATTAAGTATTTGGAGAAGCTACCTTTTCACTTTTAAACTGTGCTTATGGAATGCAATAGAATTATAATGCCCCCACCCTAAAATGTTTGCCAGGAAAGCACAAGACATAATGTGAGACTTAGACTAGCAAAAAACAACAAAGGATAAACTATGGCACGATATTTGGGCGAAACGAAACGAAATTACAGTTGAGACAAAAACAACGCGTCAAAGATCAAAACCGAAGCGAATGCAAAACGAAAACACAGATAACGAAGCTTTGCACCGAAGCGACGCTTCGGCAAGCTGAGCTTTGTACGAGCGGGCGAACGTGTGTTGTGAGACAACAACGGTAAAGATTTGTGTACCACACAGTTAATTTTTGTTTTGCGCCTCGTCGGTATTTTCGTACTCGCTGTTTGTTATGCTGTTACTGTTGTGCTTGAAAGAGTTCAACGACATACGCGCTCTCTGTGGCTGGCGTAAGGTCGTCGTTAAATTTACCATTACATATTAGCTTTCGTAGTGCACATAGATAAATAAAAACAACAACAAAGTTTCACTTTCGTAAACCTTTTTTAAACGATGCCGCTGGAGAGCGAGAGAGAAAAGCTTACAAAAGTTGATCAATTAAAGGGGAATAATGGCATGGGGCCATGATCACAGCTGGCAACTGCCAGCAGCTGGCACTAGGGCAAGTCATACTTATACATACATATATACAGCAGCCAATACATCGATAAGCGGTCAATAGGCACCAATTAAACCAGGAAACGTTAAATTCGTCTTGCCAGACAAAAATTGCTTAAATGTCACTTATCAGTGAATGCGTCTGTGTCCGCCGACACGAATGCATACATTCATACATACATATGTATGTACATGAGCAAGTACAGTGAAAGCTCTATTAGCGGACAGCTAATAAGGGGAGGACATTTGCTTTTGTTCACCATTTCTGTCAGTCCCAATCTTTTTCAATTGTTAACTTTATTGTTTCGACATTTCTTGCAAGCCATCTCTGTTAACAGACATTTATATATGTTATATATATGTGTGTATTTGTATGTAAGTATTTATGTATGTGCTCGTGTTGATGCCATTCTAAGTATTTGTATTTGAACTTTTTCCTGAATGTCTTTGTCTCGCTGATTGTTATCAATGGGAAAAGCAAGTTTATAGTTTTCGCTTGGCATACAAGCGACAGGAGCAAATGTTGGCCCTTTTCGGGAGACGAGAACAAAAGAAATTCTATGAAATGGACCAAAAAAGCAATGGGAGTATCTTATCAGGAACTATCGAAATACAAATACAAATAAAACTAAATACGATATAGATTTTTTGTATTTTACTAAATACCGTAATATACTTAATATATCTGCAAGAGCTACATATGCTCCAACGCGTAAGATATTAAGCCAATATGTTTACATTCTAAATATGGATAAACAATAATGTCTGGTCAAATTTTACCGCGTTTTTCCGAAACCAATCAATCACTTTTTAGTTTCGGTTTTTAATTTTTTAGTGTTCTTTGCAGAACTAGCGACATTTGTGGTAGATACGTTTGTATTTATGAACATATAAAAAAAAAATGAAGAAATAGTTGTATTTTGCGGCAACTTGAGTATGGGTACAGGATATCTCTTATTCAGACACACATACATGCATACTTGTTATACATCAACTCATTTAACGACCGATTGGCAGGTAGGAGAGACAAAATCGACAGCAAAAACTGGTGCGAAAGAAGACCCAAAACAAGTGTCTGCGTTTGCATGCATACATATGCATGTGTGTATGTATGTATATGTATTTATACAGTTGTGTGGTGATTACCTTTATATTTGCAACAGTTGCAACTAGCGAGTATTAATTCCTGGTTGTGCAGTGTAATCCACAGTTTGTGCAATGTGTACAGTTGTTGTTGGTTTTCTTATTAATTTTTTGCAGTTTTTATTTTAACATTAAATGATGTTAGTTGTAACACTTTCACTTGATGTTGGGCATTGTTATTAGAAATCACATACAAACGAGGCGAAAATATTTCAATTTTATATGTTTCGCTCTCTTACGCTTACATACATACACCCACACTTGCACATACACTTGCAAAAACAGTGTGCACTACAAAACGAAAACAAACTGCAGGTTAATTTTATGCGGCAACACTAAATATTTGCTAATTTAAAGTGCCAAATGCGTAGAAATACCGCTTCCACTTTTAAGGTGCTTACAATTGTGTTTTTGTTGTTGCAAAACAAACTCAAACAACGACACAACAAGAGCACATCGTACATATGTATGTATGTATACAACCTACTACTACGCACACAGCGACTCACACACACAAATTGCGGCTTGCAAAAAATCTCGTTTTGGCTTTCGTTGTATGTATCAGCGTGCTAAATTCCACTTAAATCGCAATTTGACATCAGCAGGCAACACTTGTTTCAATATTTGAAACGTAACACTTTTTATTAATCAATGCATTATTTTGATTGCATTTAAATATTTGTTTAATTGGTCTCGCGCATTCTCTTTTTTTGTTTACCATGTATGTTAATACACATACACATTCATATAAAATCAAATGAGACGCAACGTACACTCCTTTCTGTATGTGTATTTGGAACTATATTGCATGCGTCAACAATATTCTAGGTTTGTCATAGCGAATATTATTGTTAAGAAGCGCGATAAAAACTTTTTTGCTTCGATTGCTTGGATTTTTCACTGTATTAGCAAATTACGTGAAGCAACTAGGCACCGACGCACACACCCAGTTCGTTCAATTATTTTGTTGCTACTGAACGATAGGGATGATACATTGTGGGCTTGTCGATATTTTCTACTAGTGGTGTCGCACTATCGCATGCTATCGATAAGTACACAATGCCAAACAATCGAACAAATTTAAATAGTTTTATAATATTATTTGTAAGTGAATTACCAGAACTGCTTACTCAAACCATATTAATCTGGTATTGAAAAATATCTATAATTATTCCTTATTAAATGAATGCTTACTTGTTTCGTTAAATGCAATGCTAAAGTAAGTGAATCGTTTTTAACGGTTCCTTTTGGAGTTCAACCAACCCCTTATAAATATATATATATATATATATTATATATACAGCAGTGGAAAGTGTATAGGGAAAGCGCTGAATGTCTCATTGATGAGATTTGCAGACATTTATCTTCCCTTCATTGATAAAAATAACATGCAGAAGGAATAAGAACAAAAATGAGAGAAACCACCCAAATAGCGAGCCGATATCAAATGAAAGAGACAATGAGTCATCAGTCGCAAAAAGCCAATCGGACTTTCGACTTTAAAAGGACGTCCTTTAAAGCTGATGGTATTCTATTTATAATGATTTGCGCAGAAAATAAACATTTCGAGTATAATATGTAAGGGTCGCTTTCCGCCAAACACTTGCACACACACAATTAGTTGCAGTCCACTGGTTTGCATCTCAACAATTTCTTTGAATTAAATAATGCGTTTTTAAGTGACGCTTAGAAGCATTCTTCAGTAAATTGTGCAATTGTTAAAGTGGCCGTCAACTATGCGACATAAAGACAGCCCAAATTAGATATGAACTCCAAGTGTGTCAGAAGCATTGCAGTCGCACACAATAATTTACAAGCATAGCGAAATAAAAAACAAAATTAATGATAAGATGTTGGGCCGCAGATAACAGCCGTCAAGTGGTCCAGCTGCCAATGAGTGCCCATGGCGACAGTTCAACAATCTGTAAATAAACAGGGGGCGAGTAGCTGTTATCCGTACTTAACATTCGGCGCTTAGCTGTACTGTTAGCTGGCTGTTGTCCTTAAATCCATATCAATATGCTTTACATTGTTTATCTCAATACTGAGACAATACTGAAGAACACTAAAAAAAAATAAAATTCTTGACGAAATTCATAGTTAAATAGGATGGTATTAACAGAAAAGTATGATGCTAAAAAGTTGAGTCAATTATTAATTAAGCAAAATTGTTAAATTAATTTAATGATGAAATAGTTCTTATTTTCTTTATAAAATCTAGGTATATCAAAATAATAATTGCAAAACTAGCGGAACCCAAATAAACAGCATTTCCATGGTATAGCTTATACCAATGAGAACACTTACATGTACATGCATATCTTGTATATAAATATAGACTGCAATATATAGATATATTCTTATGAGAAGAACTCGATTGCTGATTGTAAACATGTGGACAAATATATGAGTGTCAGCTTGAGAGCTGCTCTGACAGCGTCCGAGCCACTTGAAGCGCCTAAAAACGAATAAAATTGCGATTACATCTGGTTGTTTTTAAGAGAAACATATAGAGAACTGAACAGATACAATGAAAATGTGCACAATCGACATCATTGTTTTCACAATTGGCCTTGCACTTTTTTTTGTAAAGGGGAGATCTGGAATTTTTGACTAATTTATAAATGTCTGCTAGGCGCCAGATTCTGTTGGCTAACAGACGGTTATTATTGTTGTTGTTATGATGTGTGCTTATGGAGCATTTGAATCTGAACAGCAGTATCTAATCTTTGGCACCTCGCAGATAACTGTTCTGGCTTGTTTTAAAAATTCCCAGGCTGTATTGACTTGCAAATTGGTGTGGGCTCCAATAGTTTGAGACAAATGTTGAGTAGCAGTAAAAGACAGCCTCTGAAAAAAAAGGGAAAATTTTGATGTAAACGCGCACATAAAATAGGAACTACTTCCCGTTGCCCCAGAATAACGGCAATGCACTTGTGCACAGCAGGAATTTCATGCCTTACACTAGATGGGGGCATCCCCCTATGTATGTGCTACCTAGTGTATTTTTAGGCGCTAAAGTCCCCCAACTAAACGTTTTGGTATAGGGCGAACAAGATGCTTTAAATTCAACTTAATAGGGGCGACATTTGGCTGCCCTCCTTGTGTTCTTTGCTTTACGCACAAATTGAACTTCTTTGTGTTCCACTTTAAGTTCTGAAAATATGTTTATGGAATGCACACATACATATATATATCAATCTATATTTATATATATAAGTAAAAAGAGACACATAAATATCTCACGTTTTGACCAGGTATCTAAACACTTAGGACCCCTCTGGGTGCGCCCTACGGTTCCACTTTGATGGGGCTTGTTATTGAAGCAATATATTTAATAGACTGCTAATCCATTTCAAGGCATGCCTAATGTCTGTGTTCTGAAATAGGTTTAGTCCAAATGTTGCAAAATTGCTGCATCGAGATTGTAAACATATACTAGTATAATTTAAAACACAGATAAAATGAACTAATTAGTTGTTTAAAATAAGCAGCAGCTGGAGAACAAATTTAAATCACAAACTTATTTGATCTAAAGAGTCTTGATTGCAAAGAGATTTACATTATCCATGGTCTGGACTCAATAAGCTGATGTACACATTTTCCAGTAATTATAATAAAACTCTCATTAACATTATGGCTTTTCTAGAACGCATCCAGTAGAATCGAACAGAATGAAATATGAGTATGTGAAGAGTCCCTGTCACAAACTGTGCCAGGGGGTTGCTGCACATTATTGTTTGTTGAGGACACTCGCTGCCAGCATGTGAGCCGCGCGTCTGTCATGAGTCGGCATGACAAACACCCTATCCAAAGTAATAATCAGTACAGTCATGCCTGTGCCTAAGGGTGGCAAAGCAACAGTGGGTTCATTTAAATTGTGGCTTGCGCTCGACGTGACTTTAACGCCGAAACCACCATCTGGTTCTGGTAATGCGGGCTACAGACGTCGAGTCAATGATCTAATAGAGATTAAGATGAATGATCTGCTCAGCTGAGGCTTTCTGTGACAGTGGGTAGTTTTTTCTCAAAAAAAAAAAACAAGAAAATTAAAAACAAAAAGTAATTACTAACAACATTTGTTTGGGATGCGCACACGCACAAGTCTGTATTTGCCCTAGTCCTCGTACAGAATGTGCGTGCCATTTGGTTAGAGTTTGGGTTTGGAGTTTCGAGTTAAGGTGCGGCCGGTCCAACGCACCCTAACACTCGGCTTTCCTGGAATGGTTTGAATGCGCTGTGTACAGCAACAAGCGCAACCGTTTGTCACACACGCACTGGCCCATTGTCTAAATGCTCATTTAGGTCATGTTCCGGGCAGGGTTACCATAGGCTTGTCACATATTTAACCTCACGTTATGGCAGACCTTTGAGCTAATTGTGGGTGTTATCCAGATTGCCAAAAGACATTCAAAATTTGTTGGAATCTTTACACCAACTAGGTATATAATGTACAAGTTGTAAAAAAGGAAATGATTGTTGTTTTTATACTTCCGCTCATTCAGAATTCACAGTTTACTTATAAAGTGCTTGGGTTCGGGACCGGCGCACGTGCATGGCTTTTAGGTTTCAGCTCCAACCCTTAACTGTGTGCCGCACCCATTTTTTATTAGCTCTTCTTACGCACCCACAATAGACACTGTGTAAATTATTGTGGCATGAAAGCCACTCATCTCACACATTCCACTTTGGTCTTTGCAATGCGGTTCTATCGAATCCGAAAAATGTTCTCCACACCCGCTAATTGCTTGGCTTGACAGACAAAGGCTCAGTCGTGGAGTCACTTGAAGCGAAATGCGGATGGATGAAATTAGTTTTAGTCTAAGAATACATCTGGAAACCAGCTCACCAGGATATATTTCTTAGTTTTTTTTTTTTTTTTTTATAATGTCAAGAGTGTAGGAATATATTCTTTATAATGATAGCTAGCGCATGTATAAAAATCATACTTATTTATTATATTTTATATACAGCTGCAGGTGACACCTTGCCTTGATTCATTCTCTAGCCTACTTGCGCTTCCTTGTCACTCCAGATTTTTTCTGGGGCGCTGCTTTTGGTCTTTGATTTTTCCGCATACTTCGCTTACGGTTCTCGGTTTTTTTAGTGATATTCTCCTCTTGACGCCTCTTAATGGACTCAAGACGCATTCGCGCCTTTACTATCTGTTCGGGCTTACGCAGCTCCTTGTCATTGCCGCTAATGCGCTTCTTCAGCTCCAGCTTGGCATTATGACGAGCATGTCGGCCCACCGGATAGCGTTGGACATGGGATAAGGGCTTGAAGTTTTCATCATCGCTGCCAGCGTTTTCGCGTTGTAATTGCTCTTCAATCTTGGATTTCTCCTTCCACTCGTTGTAGCGACCTGTCTTGAAGGAGGCGGGTATCCAAGCGCCAGATTCTGTGCGTATCTTGTTTGCGCGAGGATCTTGAACTGAAACCATTTTCTTTTTGATGCGATCCCATTTCTTAAGTCCTGGCTTGTGCTTTGTATCCTGTGCTGCAGAGCGATCTACCACAGAAAACTCGGCATTCCGTGCTTGTCGCTCGAATGAGTTGATGGCAAGGCCATCCTCGGTGTGTTTATCCAGTGACTGATAAGGCACATAGTTCTCCTCATCCTTGGTTTGCAGCTTGCGTTTCTTTTTTTTTGGTTTTTCCTTGTATAGAGCCTCCATATTCTGCCGTTTTTTCGGCGCTACAACCTTTTTAAACGTATTATTTATCGACTCATCATCAGCAGTTGTAATGGGCTTTGTTTTCTGGGAATCCGCTATCTTTTGCACTTCATCAACATCCTCCTTATCGCGTTGTTGGCGAAACTTTTCGATGACTTCGCTGTGATGTGAACGTTTGTTCTTCATAACAACGAATGGCACAGACTTCTGTGTGGTGTTCAGTTCAAAAATCGTCTAAAACATGAATACAATATGAAAAGGGGCTTCTGATTAGATATAAGCTCGACTTACACCACTTGGCCGAAAGTTTCGCATCTTGACTAATATGTCATGCTTCTCATTTTCCAATTTACGCTCAGATTCTGCTACTACAGCCTTTGAATTGGCATCTAGCTTTTGGCCAGATATTTTAGCGGCTTGCTCCAGCACAGGGGCAGCATCGAAAAAATCCTCAAGTGATTTTAAAGCAAAAAATTTAATCTTCTTAGCACGTGCATTAGCATCTGTAGATGCTGTGGGACGAGAGCTCAAGTATTTTTTGTACGCATTCTCACTGGTGCGTAGCACGCCCGCCTGTTTGTAAAATACACAATCAGATACATAGCTCTATAGAAATGGAAATGCAATAACTTACTATATGATGACTCTTCTTGATCTCGGCCACGCCCAGATACTCCTCTTCAAGCAGGTCTTGTGGTATGGTACCTATAGATGAACTATCATTGATATTAAACGGCCTGTTTAGAAACAAGTGCAAGTCTAGCAAGTGTGCCGTATCATCCGTGGAGAATATAGAGTAGGCAGTGCCAGTACGTCCTGCACGTGCACAACGTCCCACACGATGCACAAATAGCTTCGGTATCCCCGGAAAATGTAAATTAACAACATAATCCAAGCTGGGTATATCAATGCCGCGGGCGGCTACATCTGTGACTATAAGAACAGAAACCTTTTTGCTAGCAAATTTTGCAGTATTGATTTTACGTGCGGCTGGGTCCAAGCTGGAATACACTGAAGTGTTGGATATGCCCGCCTGAGTTAGTATCTGAAATGAAATTGATAATAGATACTATTATTTCAAAAACTGAATTACACTTTACTCACATATGAAATTAGCTCGACATGATGCTGTGTACCCGCAAAGACGACTGTCTGTGCCTGCTGGGGTATCACATATTTCAACAGAACCACCAATGCTGTATAGCGGTCATCTGGTCGACAGTACAAAAATTTGAGGGCCAGAGTTTCTGGCAGCTTAGATTCAACATCCAAACGTATAAGCACCGGATCACTGAGTCCAGCCCTTGCGAATTCCACCAGAAGCTTGGGCAGCGTGGCCGAGAACATAACCATTTGGCGAGAGGAAGGCAAGCGATGCAACGTTTCGTTCAATTGCTCGCCAAATCCCATTTCGAAAAGCCTGTCGGCCTCATCGAACACAACATACTCTATGGAAGAGAGCAATGTCTATTAGAGTTTATTGGAAATAATTATTTGCTGTGACATACCTATTGAGTTTAGTTTCAGGTCCATTTCTACACACAAATGCAAAAAGCGGCCCGGCGTAGCTACAATAACATCTGGACAAGTATGTATAGCTGAAAATTGCGAATCCATGGAATCACCACCCAGTACTAAAATCGTCTTCAACTCCATAAAACGGCCCAGATCCTTAATGAATTTATATGTTTGCACAGCCAGCTCACGTGTTGGCGATAGGATCAGAGCACGTGCTCCTTTTGTGGGCTCGCGGCGCTGCAACTTCTCAAACATAGGTATAAGAAAGCAGGCGGTTTTGCCGGATCCTGTTTTAGCCATGGCCACAACATCACGTCCCTCCAAAATCAATGGAATGGTTTTTCGCTGAATGGGCGTGGGTACCTTGTATCCACGTTTAGTTATGCCCTTCAGCAATTCAAATCCCAGACCTAAGGATTGGAAGCCACCGCTCTTTTTCGATTTTGGTTTGTTTTTAAGTATGTCATCGTTGCCGCCGCTGGTGCCACTCTGTTCCAATGACGGAAAGCCAGGTATTTCATCGTGCTGCTTCTTACGCTAAAATCAAACGTTGATTAAATATTAATTGTTAAAACATTTAACACAGTTGTACTCACCATTTCCGCACTATTCAAGTAAAATAAACGAAAAATTTATTTACACGTGCATGTGGACAGTGTGCCCTTAACAAATTTAGCGAATTCTAAAATACCGATAGTTAAAATATCGATAAGGTCAATCTAATTTAACTTCATAGTATCGATATTACGTCTTTCTGATTAACAGTTTGAGTATTACCGGAGTGCATAATGTGGACATGCAAAAATTTCGACACGTGATGTGTCATACGCCGAATGTACTTGCTAAGTTTTATTCCCGTAAAAAGTAAAATTTAAACTTAAATAATTAAGAAATGCGAATAATTATGCTAACAGTGCCATAACGAGTCAAGTATCGATAAGATTCTTACATGAGTATCGTCTGAGGGATCATCTACCAACGGAAAATTCAAAAACTTGCAGCTAAGAATAAAAACTACATTTTGTAGGGGGAAAAATGGTGTAATTTTTCAGGAAAATATCTATTATTTAGTAATATTAAGGCCTAAACTGATCACTTAAATAATTTGTCAATATTGTCATAAACCGCGAGCCTAAACCATTTATGGCGAGAGACTTGCTATCTCTTTTACAAATTTGGTTTACATATACGTCCAACCTGTATTTAAACACAAGCGCACGTAAATAATAAATATTTTGTTTTTGTTCAGCTGATAGGAATTGATTACAAAGACAATATAAACACCAAGCTCAGTTATTCCCAAACATTTGAATGCGACGGAAAATTTCTGGTGCCGCTTTTCGCTCTGCAAAACTAACGATTGCCGGGAATACAAAGTTTGGGTAGATCACGGTCAAAAATTAATTTCTTCGCCAGCAAAAAGCCATTACAGTGGATCACACATATACAAATATGCTTCGATATAGTATGTATGCATGTTGTTCATATACATGCACACATCATGAGACCCAAGTCGAGAGTACATTCTATTTTTAACATTTTTGGGGGAGCGAAGGGTCGAAGGGTTGTATGCCATTATTCATCTATCTTTTGCTTTACCCTATACCCTAGCCTCCTATGCTAAGAGGTAACTTCTGTCGGTAGATAGATCATTAAATTAAAATAAATGAATAAAAATATGTCAGAGCATGTTAACATGCTGTCCGGCATTTAACATAAGCTTTTACCAAATGTTAGTTGTTATATGTTGTTCAATAATTCTTTTGATTCTGTTAATACACCCTTCATTAACATTACCAGAGCATAGGGTATATGAGAAAAAACATTTCATGCATAAAACATGTGTTTAATTGCCTCTCGGCTTGAGATTGTGTGTGTGTGTGTGTGTGTGTGTGTGTGTGTGCGTGCGTGTATGTGTGTGTGTGTTTGTGTAAATTTATAAACAAATTGTAAGTCAAGCTTATGAACTGAATTTCGTTTTATTTCGCAAGAAATTCAAAGCTAATTTTCAATTTCTTAAAAACAAAAGTATTATCAGCAATTTTGCATGGGAATGAAACTTATCAAAATGTTTATCTTCGAAATTGGTTTCCTTATTTAGATTTTTATCAAATTGCTTATATAAAATTATCTATTATATGGGGAGGGTATTAAAGTTAAAAAATACCTGATTTTTCATTTTATCTAGTGAGTTTCTTATAGCTTGCACAGAATTTATATGTACAAAAAATGTATACCTTAAGTGATATATGTATAGGTCAAAAATTTTAATCAATGATAGAAGCTATCTCCTACGATCATGAAATTGAAGAGAGCGAGCGAGAGCGAGAGTGTCATAGAGAGTGAAAGAGAGAGCAAGAGAGAGGGTTGGGAATTGAATATACAACGGGCGAATCAAGGTAAGATTCTATCGAGTGGACTGCAGGTAATAATGCTATCAGCATTACGTGACGCTTTTCAAATCAAATAGCTAAATACTTATGTATTACGATTGTTATTATGAGGAGAGAGAGAGAGAGCGAGAGACGTATATGACGAGTAGCCAAACAGCTGCTCACGCACAGCCGGCTGTGCTATAAAAATGACGCCATCGGAGACGTTGGCGTTCAGTCAGAGCGTTGATATTCTGCAAGTCGAACTAAAATGAATCGTTGGTTAAATCGTGTTGCCGTTGTAACTGGCGCCAGTTCGGGCATTGGTGCGGCATGCTGCAAAGATTTGGTGGGCAAGGGCATGGTCGTGGTGGGTCTGGCACGTCGCGAGAATCGGCTTCAGGAGCTGAAGGCCGAACTGCCGTCGGATCAGGCGGCGCGCTTCCATTTCCGCACCTGCGACGTGAGCGTGGAGCAGCAGGTGATCGATACCTTTGCCTGGATCGATAAGGAGCTGGGCGGCACAGATGTGCTGATTAATAATGCGGGCATTGTGCGTCACACCCAAATTATCAGCGAGGGCAACAGCGCCGATCTACGGGCCACATTGGACACCAATGTACTGGGTGTCTCCTGGTGCACACGCGAGGCGTTCCTTTCGATGGAGCGACGAAAGATCAACGATGGTCACATACTCATTGTCAATAGCGTAGCCGGACATCAGGTGCCCATTATGCCGCAGATGAGCTTCAATATGTATGCGCCATCCAAGCATGCGATCACCGCACTGACCGAGGTGTTGCGCCAGGAGTTTCTCAACAAGGGCACCAAAACAAAGATAACTGTGAGTGAGGCACTTGAAATACCCTTTATCTGTATCGATTCTTATATTGTGCATTATTTTGACTATAGAGCATTAGTCCTGGCGTTGTGGATACCGAAATTATTGATAAGGACAAACTATCCGCCTTGGGTTTTCCCATGTTGCGGTCCGAGGATATCGCCGATGCAATCACCTACTGCATCCAGACACCTCCAAATGTCCAAATACACGAGCTGACGATCAGGCCTGTTGGTGAGAAATTCTAGGCTCACCAAATGGAAACAATGAAACCATATAAAACTATAATTTAATATCAAAGTAAAATTCTATTTATTAGTTTTGATCTTCTAACAATTATAATCTGCGACTATGTTTCACAACAAAATGTGTTTTCCTTTAAGCAAATGGGAAAAATAAATGGGTTAAGTAGAGGGAACTTCTAGGTTACTCTCCACACCCAATGACACAGGTGAACTTTTGATTCTAACAATAGTTGCTTATTGATTAAATAAAAAACACAAGATATTTAAACGAGTAGAATGCCGATGGATAGAGAGCCCGAGCTATATTCAAAATTAGTGTTACCAGACTTATCAATGACAAAATACTTTAATGTATGAATTTCTGTAATGCCAGATCAACACGATTATTCAGTTTGCATACGATTTATTTCTATGGTTCTATGGTACAAAAAGGACGAGTTTTTATGGGGTCTATTGACAAAAATTGGATTGTGCCATGTCGGCACGCCGAGCATAATATCCGTTTTATATATATGTAGATACTTGTAAGGTGCCTAAATGCCGAGTTTGGTGAAAATATCTGAAGAACAGACCACTTATCCATACAAAGACTCATAATCGACCGATTTTTCCTATATAGCACTACGATACATACGTTGATATATGAATGGAGCGTGGTTTCGATGGGCAACAAATCAGATCTTTAATTTTGAAACAAAGTGAAATGACTGCCGAGCTTAACTTAAAGTTACTGCGCGGGAAATTCAAATTAATAAAGCCGCCTTCGTAAATACCAAATCTTAAGACGACAATTTACTATCGGCTAAGCAGTTGTTGCGATGCGCCTTGGTTTCGATTACTATAAGGGTTGCATTTGCATTTGTTATCGATACGGTTGGGAAAATTTAAAAGTATTTTGTTGTCGAAAGAACAGTAGGTGCAGAATGTCTTAACTGAATGAGCAGGTCCAGTATGCCAATGGAAATAAACATCCAGTTTGGTAGGAAAGATCCAAATGTGGAAACGGGAAGCATCGGTTGCCGTGTCGAGAAAATGTAATTCCATGTATGGCGGCCAAAATCCGTTGATATATACTTAATAAATCTATTTTCTTACTGTAAAATTTGTTTCGTTTTTCAGTATATCCTTTTTACGGGCTATAACTGATTGTGTTTTTCAAACTTATTAATCAACACTTAATAGTATTCACCTGTTTTATCATAACATTTGTAGGTGGATTGGGCAGGCTAAAATGCTAGTTGTAAGATGAGGACCATGTCGATCGACAACTAGACAAAGCGATGAAAGACTGAGCTACTCCTTTCCCGGTTGAGATTTAGCTTGATTTAAGGATGGTTCTGGTGGCGGCATCAGTTCGGCTTTCTTGATTAAGCGTTCTTGCCGATTACCTAAATGAATTTTTGCTTGTTTACTTAAGTGTCAACATATAATTATTCTTCTACATACTGAACGCTTGTGTTACAGCTTGACTGATGTCATCTGTTAAACTCCTAGCTGCTAGGCAGAGCGTATCAATCTCAGCAGTTACACATTTCAACATATCGTTCGGCTGGTTTCGTGTTAATGCAGCAAATAAATCCAGATGGGGATCCCAGAATAGTGGAAGCTTACCATTTTTTCCCGGCGTAACCAAGCAATTCGCCAACTCTCTGAACATCTGCACAGAAATAGGAATTCATGAATAAGTACTAAGGGTCTCACGTACCAACTTATTTGCACTTACATCGATCAATATTTTGTTTAGCTGTTGGGTTTTCCAATAGGTCGTTGGCCTGGCATCTATTTGCCATAGCAATAAGGTCTTGATATAATAGCTCTTCAAGGTGCTGATATTTTGTTATGAGTCGTGGAACTTCTTTATAAATTTAATAACATCCTTTAGCTTATATTTATCCTTAATCATGGCATATTCGGCTTCATAGTACGATGCCCTAAATGACACATTGTTTGGCTCGAATGGCTTCAACGGTTTTGGAATCGCACTCCAATACGGAATGTTCTTGAAGTACTTGAGTTTTTCTTGACCCAACACAATTTGCTTTACATTTAGCTTAATGGCAGGCACAAAATCCACAGAGTACTTCATATCGGATTCGTTAATAAATATTGTATGTGCCGGTCCACATCTTTTATACACCAGTTGGGCAGTTTTTCCATCGACCTCAATTTTGTTTTCCATTTTATTTAAGGCCCGTGTTACAGTGCCTTTTATAATATCCTGCAGCTTATTCTCTAGAAGTAGATTGGTGGGCGTAACTAATTTTTTTAGAATGGTGAATGTAACTTTATTTTGATGTTGATTATGCAAAATATTTAGCACTTCCGTCATGTCCAAAGTAACATTACCCGGTTTACCACAGTCTCTCCTCACAACAATCCTGTCATTCTCTGGAAACTTTAAATGAATTACCAAATCGAATTCATCGGGTTTTGTTACTTTCAGTTTATCCGCATAGCTTCCTATATAGAAAAAAATATTAAATTACAAATGCATTTTCGGGATTCTGTACATTTTGAAAATCGCAAAGAAAGGCGGTTTCTTAACGAAGGGGAAAGCCAATGTGATAGAGAGCCAGAGGGAGAGAGTGAAAGAAAGAAAGAGAGGGACAGAGAGAGCATTGCACTTGTTTGTTTTTCTTTGGATTAATACATTCACCCATTGAAGAAGGTTGAAGCACATTATTTCTTAAAGGAGTGCATTGTGTGTGTTGATATCAGAAATGGTCTTCTTCATTCACGTACCTCCTAATTTATGTCCGCATAACCATTTTCCTAGTGGATTCTCCTGTTGCAACATGGAATAGAGCGTATCTCGTAACTTTCCATAATGATTTGTGTATAATTTCCGATGCGCATTAATATTTATAAAATTTGCGCTGGTTGACTGAAGATGTTGTTCCAGATTGGTCATTTTTGTGTACTCTGTTTGGGAATATTGAACTTTACTTAAGCAACACAAGAACCACACTAAAAGCGAGACTCAAGCGATAAACAAGAAACAAAACACAAGCCAAGCAATAATTCAGTTGGTTCGATCGAGCAGATGCCCTGTATCAAGGCCGAAAATAACGGAAAATATAAATTTCTCGGTGATCTGTTGAAAGAGCCGCAGATATATTATGCTATAGTTATAGTTATAGCTATAGTTTTTTATTGGATTGCACAAATACAATTATAATATATTAACGCTGAACTTGATCTGGTAAATGATATCGTATGGGTATTGTAAGGTTCTCTCGAAAGAACTGTTTTTATTCAAGTCTTCGACTTAAGCTCTTGCAAGTGAACAATCGTAAACAGCGGAAACTACTATAAACATGCGTGTGTTTGCAGCTATAAGAAGTTGGGGATTTCCCAACTATTGTACTTAGTAAGACATCTGATGCGTCAACTTATAGAATGAAGGGACCAGAGTAAGCCATAGCCTAAATATCAAAAGAAAACAAGTTGCAGGACTAACTAAATATGTTATAATGTTTTACCATAAAGATGTTTTTCTTAAAATTTGTTTAAGCAATACTTAAACCAACAAAATATTTATTTATAGGTGATAATCCAAGCGCAGTTCTGAATTCATTTAACATATTATATTCTGATTTACGCATAAATTCATGATTATATATGTACTTGCCCAAATTACAGAGTTATAGAGAGAGGGAGGTAAAGGGAGAGAGACAGAGAGAGAGAGAGAGAGAGAGAGAGAGAGAGAGGCAAAAGGAGGGAAAGAGAAAAGGAAATAGAGTGCAATAGACTGTATATCTTACTTGAATATGTGAGAATCACATAGAAGGGCCATAATCAAAAACATCTGAGCTAACAATACCTAGCTTCAGTCAGCCAGTTATTCAGAACACATGGTATATTAATTAAGTAAGCTCCTCGCCTTGTTTCTTTTAGCTAGTAACAAACCTGCAATTTAAAGAACTCAAGAGCATATTTGCCCCAAGTATATAATGAGGTGTTTGTCGGAAACTGTCAGGAACTGGTGAGTTCATTCACAAGTCAGTAAGCCAACTGAAATGCTTAAAATCAGATAATCAGATAATAATGCTGTTGATAAGCATGTGAGTAAATCAACAAATGTATGTGCTGGTAGATTATAGTATACTGGCGGTAAAGCCAATAGGTAGATCTGCTGAACCCCTACCAAGTGCTTTACGATTGGTATTTATCTATAAACAAAAGTGGTTCAAATTCTTTGCACGCCGTTTGCATTCGGTTGACATTTTTATGGGGTTTCTTTTACAGTGCCAATTATAGATGCTTATCCAGGCTCTGTGCGGATCGGACTCTTAAATGGACTTACTGGCACTTCTTAAATAAACAAATTAATGTTATTGTTAATTTTCGCGTAAATAAATGTTGCGTGTTGCCCTCAAATTGATAACATTCGGTGGCAGCTGAAGAGCGGTCGTAAAACTCTTCAGCCGATAATCGGGGTCCCAGATAATGCCGTTTGGCCTGTGAAATATAAGGCCTGCGCCCGTTCACAGGGGCAGACATAGTGAAAGTGAAATTGGTTAAAACATGAAGTACCTGCTTAGTGTGACCCTCCTGCTGGCCATTGGCTTCCAACAGATCGATGCGCACGGCATGATGTTGAGTCCGCCGAGTCGATCCTCGCGCTGGCGTTTCGATGGCTCAGCGCCGCAGAATTACAACGACAACGAGCTCTTCTGCGGTGGTTTATATGTGGGCACTTGAGCACCGATGTGAAGTAGGTGTTCGACATTGATCCTTTCCCACTCTTGCAGACCCAGGCTAATAATGGGGGACAGTGTGGCCTGTGCGGCGACAACTTTTCGACTGGCCAGCCGCGTCCCAACGAGATTGGCGGACAGATTGGCGGCAGCGGCGTAATCACCAAGAGCTTTACGGCCGCTAATGCCATTACCGTGGGCGTCAAGATCACCACCAACCATTTGGGACACTTTGAGTTCCATTTGTGCAACTTGGATACCTTTGGAGGCGAATCTGAGGATTGCTTCAATCAGCATCGCTTGCGTTTCCCCGATGGCAGCGACAAACTTGAGATTGGCACCCAGAGCGGCGAGTTCGATGTGACTGTCCTGCTACCGGAGGGTCTTACCTGCCAGCACTGCGTCCTGCGTTGGACCTATGTGGGCGGTAAGTGTGTACTTTTGTGTATTTCCACACTTCCCACTCTCATAAATTGGAACTGTTCGTATAGCCAACAATTGGGGTATGTGTGACAATGGCACCGGTGCCCTGGGCTGTGGTCCCCAGGAGACCTTCAAGAACTGCGCTGATGTGAGCATCTACTGGGGCCGCAACATGCTCAAGGAGCTGGCGGCAGGCGCCGCTGCCAAGCCCGCTGTGCCAGAGGAGGTCGACTCCGTCGAGGCATAAGTGCTGATGGCAAAAGTCTGAACATTTTGTACTGAATCAAAGCCAAATATTTAATTAAACGAAAGCATTTTTCTGCAAAACTGACCTTTATAATACAAACAACTCTCAAGTTGAAGAGTTATTGGATTTCTCTGATGTTCTATGCTTTTCTTCTTGCTTCGGTGCACTGCTTGTCATACATTGCGTTTATTGTTAACCCCAGACACAAACCACAAACAATAATAAACTGCTTGGCAGCTGAGCTGTTTCCGGTTTATTATGCCTCTTTGTATACTTCCTGTACTGCTTGAACTGCTTTCATTTTACCTAAGACACACAGTTTCATAAACGCTTCTTGATATTTTGTCCCAATTTTTGTTCAGCATATTCACATTTATTTATACCTATAACAAGAATAATCTTTTGGATATGGTAGAACTGCATGCTCTGTTCAAAAAATAGAATATTTCGAATTTGCGCAATGTCCAGCTGTCCGCATGAAAGCAAATGTTTGGTCAGAATTGCTGTGATAGCCCCCCGAATCGGCCTGGAAAATATTCAAAATCTATTAGGGTGGGGTGTTTGTAAATTGTATGCAAATACAAATACATTGCAAAGAAAATACCACTCATCACGCATAAATAGTTTAATATTTACTTGAATTTATGAGAATTGAGGTATATTAAAACAAGTAAGAGACTCAAGTCGGGAGCTCCCGACGGGTGGATACCCTGAATACCCTCTGTTTCCAACACCAAATGCAGCTCGCACTACGCGCTCGCTTGCTTTTGTAGTAATATAAATCAATTAAAAAAAGGGGTTCCTCGGTAGGGTTTGAACTCGCTGAAGTGTACTTGGTTTCCGTTTGGTACAAGAGAACAAACATAGATGTAGTACACAAAAATGTAAAATGTCCATCGATGTGAATTTCCATAATCCAATAATTACATTTTGAATGATATTTTTCATAGATGTTTTCAAATTAGATTGAGTAAATGATGATCGGCTTTATTTAGGAGTATATTTTATAGCTACAATCAGATACAATGTGTTGAAAAAAACAAAAGTAGCCGAGTTTACAGATTTATGGTAAAGTGGAAAGGTTAGTTTACAGCATATCGCATGAAAACGCAAGTGGGACAGACCTTGGCCAATTTCCAAGTGCTTCAGTTCTTAAATGTGCCCAATACCTACGATATCAATGATTTCATATGTTTTCAAATCACGATTATGAGCCGAATATCAAGATTGCCGGCAATTAACTGTTCCAAAGCACCAATAAACACAACTAAACTAAACTCTTATCTCTTTAACTTTCTTTAAAACCTTGAACCATTCACTTTTTTTTTTTGGCAACAAAACTAAGTTATATCGAAGGCTGCAAAATAATTTCGCCTGGTTTACAGTTGATTTATCAGCAAATTTAGCCAATAAAAAACATTCTCAGGAATATACAGTGAGCACTCGTTATTTAACTCGATATTTAAAGAAGCGCGAAATTAAGATTATATAAAAAACGAGCCGTCTTATTGTTTAAAAACTGCAATCGAAATTGGAAATTTCCAAGTTAATTGTTTTGAAAATGTGAAGGTATCCAATGTACTTTATTGAGACTTTCTGAGAGTTTTAAAATTTTATGAGTGAAATAATATTGCAAATATTTGGATTGTTTGGATGTGTCACTCTTGTTTTGATCAATAAAGAACGGTATCATTTCTCGGAGTGATATTACGATTCGGCAAATTTTGGGCAAGACCAAAATGATCGTATACCTGCTTGATTGACGCCTGATAAGAGGCCAATTATCTTTATATGATCGCTTTGATCGTTAATAGCGTTGCCTAAAAATCCGAAGAGTTCCCTGTAAACCGATAAGGCCGCAACAATGTGCAGCTATATAAGACTCGCCCACTGGGAGGCAGGGCCCAGTGAAAGGGAAAGTGCCAAAGAAAATGAAATACCTCAGTATTACCACGATGGGGGTGTTGGTCTGTTGCCTCATGGGGCAGATCAATGGCCATGGCATGATGTTGAGTCCCGTGGCTCGTTCATCACGCTGGCGTTACGACTCCTCGGCGCCCACAAACTACGATGACAATGCGCTCTACTGCGGCGGCTTTTGGGTATGTGTGCCTCTGCTGAAGGTTCTTGGATGGTTTTCAAACAAATATGTCCACTTTTCGCAGAAACAAACGGAAAACGACGGCCAGTGCGGCTTGTGCGGCGACGACTACAGTCTGAGCGCGCCCCGGCCAAATGAATTGGGCGGTAAATATGGTGCCGGGGTCATAGTCAAGAGCTACAACGGCGCCAGCTCGATTGAGGTAAATGTGCTCATTACCGCCAATCATCTTGGCCACTTCAGCTTCCATCTGTGCAGCCTGGATGAGCATGGCAGCGAGTCGGAGCAGTGCTTTGATAAGTATCCGCTGCAGTTTGCCGACGGCAGCCTCAAGTATTACATTAGCTCCAAGACCGGCAGCTTCGATGTGACCTTGAAATTGCCCAGTGGAGTCAGCTGCCAGCACTGCGTGCTCCGTTGGACCTACACGGCGGGTAAGCGCAGTCGATTACCAGAATATACAGGCCAGATTATATAGGCGCAACTTTCCGCTCTTTCATCAGGCAATAACTGGGGCGTTTGTGAGGATGGCAGCGGTGCTATGGGCTGTGGTGCTCAGGAAACCTTCAAGAATTGTGCGGATATTAGCATTTTGGGCTCAGCCCGGGGCCTGTTCGAGGACTCTGTGCAGGCTGAGTTACCTGTGCTGCCCGAGGAGGTTATTGCATAAGGAAACAGCTGATGCAGATGCTCCTCATTTCCCATAGAATTAATATTAATCTCAAAATTTGTTACAATTTGTTATAGATAAGATTCTGTAATGAATGCATGTTTCTTTTTTATTTAATAAATTTTCTTTTTATATTTTATATGTATGTATATATATGCCTGTGGTTTGTATGTATATACTATGTATATAAACTTTCTGCTTGTTTTCTTCGGCCTGTTCCTGTGGCTCTTGTGTGTGTGTTCGTGTATGTGTGTGCGAGCTGTTATAAATTGCGTCTGAAAAATATGCAACAGTTTGGAAACAGTGTTGACAACTGCCGCCGCAATTAAAACCTGAATTCAGTGTTGAACAGCTAAAATTGGCAATAAACAGTGTTGTTAGTTTACAACTTCAATCGTTTCCCGCTGACGACCTCTGCAAGTAGCCGAATCTAGCTAGAAAATAATCGCATTGGCAACACGACTCGGCACACAGCTCTGCATTAAATATTTGTGTGTATGCTGTCACTACATATGTATGTAAATGTGTATGTATATATGTGTATATATAATATATGTGTATATGTATATGTATATGTAGATGTAAATGTAAATGTAAATGTATATGTATATGTATGCTATGTAATTTGTAATTTGTTTCATTCGCTTAAAAATATGTTCACAATAACTGCCTTATTAATTAGGTTCACAAATAAGTTTGTATATATATTAATTTTTACAAAGCGTTCAGGTCGTTGGCAAAATCAAAGAATCGTAATCCATAAATTCAAATTGTTATTTTCGCGTATTGAACTCAATTATATCATAGCTTTAGAATTGTGCAATCATTTACTTAATATAAGCACATTGTCATGCCTACACGAGTGCCTGCATGTATTTATGTAGTTAAGTATATATTTGTTTAACAATTAACCAAAACAAATCGCAAACAACATTGTGTAACTTTTGGGGTTTTTTTTTACTATTGTTTATATTATATTGTATTTTATTTAAAGGATTGCCACTAGAAATTTCATCAAATATTGTTTTTTTTTTTTTTTTGCTTTTAGCTCTATTTTGCTTTAATTATGTTCATTTAAAACTCTTTGTAACCTCAAACTACTTAAGTAAATACATTGCCAAGTTAAAAACTATAAAAAACACCTTGGGCTCATGCATACTTTATTTTTTAACTCTTCGAAAGTGTGCGAATTGTTCACAACTGAATTTATTTATTTTTTGTTTTTTTTTTCTTTTGCATTATTTTAATAATGTTTATTTTCCATACGCAGTTTAAAATACAGTTTTTCTTTTTGAAAAAATATAGTACATACATATGAAATGTATGTATGCCTATTTCCAAATGTGATTTCTGCAACCATTTGTAAAAGCACGTTGTAAATTTTGCACAAGCTTCTGTAAAATTTACTCACTTAATTTTTTTTTTACGATTTTTTATTTTTTTATAAATAGCTAAATATTTCATCTTCATTTAAAAAAATGTAACATTATACAACACTATTTGTTTTTTAATACCTGAATTTTAGAATTTTGTATCCGAAACGCCATTTTTGGTTTGACTATGTGTGTGTGTGTGTGTGTGTGTGTGTGTGTGTGTGTGTGTGTGTGTGTGTGTGTGTGTGCGTGTGTGTGTCGTGTGGGTGTGCTTGCTTGTTCGAGTTTTGTTTGTTTTCTTGTAATTTCTGGTAGTTTTTTCATCATAAAAATTTTTGTTAGGTCGAAATTGTTGTTTGCCAAAAGTTTGTGTTTCGCCCTTGTATACTATCTGCTTTGTATTGTATAAGTTCTCAAGATTGGTTGTAAACAAGTGTGTCAAAAGTTTGTCAGCGGTGATTTATTTTATTTTATTTTTTTTGTTTTGTTTTGCGATTTGCCAATATATATGCAGCTTGCACTTATCCTTAATTGACTAACTTCAATGCCGACAGAGTTCTGGAAGGATGTTGATTGGATTAACCGTTAGTTGGTGTAAGTTTGTGGATTTGGGTCTATTAGACTAACTTTTATGTTACGTATTAAGTTTAAAGTTGCTTTTTATATTTAATCATTGGCACAAATTCGCTATCTGAGTTCCTGTCTATCAGTTGCTTTTTAGCCTGTGGTTTATTTATATTAGGTTTAAGTTAAAACAGAATTCACTGAACTGAATCTGCAAAGAACAAAAGGGAAATGAACATAACTTTGTGCTCAATTGTTTGTGAGTTGTTTGTTTTGTTTTCCAATATGCATCACGACAATAATTTCACACGTTTGTTTTGCTTATAAACTTTGTTTTATTCTTTTTATAAACATTAACATGCTAAAATGTACTTTCTTTTTATTATATAAAATTTTGTTTTCAACTATATTCATTAAAAAACATAATAGCTAAACGAAACTAGTTTGTAAATTATAAGTAAGTGCGGCTTTAAAAAGTTGTAATTAAATTTGTTTAATAACTAACTATTACACAAATAAAAAGTGTGCGTGTACGTGTGTGTGTGTGAATTGACTGTCATTTAAAAACAAATAAGGGCAAAAAATGAAGACGGCTTTCATTTTCAACTATTTTAATTTGCAACATAATTTGATTTGAAAGTTTTGTTTTATGCATTGTTAGCTATTATGCGTAAGTATATCTTTTGCACGCACTGTAGCAATGGCCAGCTGAACTAAAATACAAAAAGAAACTAAGCAAATAATGTATCAAAAAGAAATGAATTGTGACAGTAAACAACAGACACAACAGCACTTTAAGTTTAAAACACACACGTGATAATACAGAAGTTTCTGGCATTTGGACTTCTCGAAAAATTGGGGCATTTGAATTGAAATTTGTTTAAAGCTTGTTTAAGAACTACTTTTACAAACTAGAAATATTATCATTATGATTGATGAAAGCCAGAAAAATATTTAAAATTAATCGCAGTCACACACTCTATTTATAAAATAAAATTTAAATAAGCGAAACTACATAGAGAACTAAGTTATGCTTGTAATTATTCGTAATACAAATAATAATCATAATCATAATAATAAAAACAATTAAAACATTTATAATTCATATATTGCAGCAACAGTGGAAGACAGTTTTCTGTTTATAAATTTTTTCATGCTGTTTCGCAATTGCAATTCTTTTCACTTTTGTTATTGTTTATGTTGTTGTTGTTGTTGTGGTTGTTCTTCAATATTTATTTGCTGTATACAGGATTAAAGTTAAAGGTTGCTAAAGCATAAAGAAACAACGATCTAAACTAAACTAATTAATTATTAAATTAAAAATTGCTTATTCAAATTAAAATATACAACAGCATAAAAATTAAGGGCCAGAATAATAGTGGAATAATGTACATACAATTTAAAAAATGTTTTCATTTTCAATGTGCCAAAAAAAAAGAAGACAAAAAAGCAGACAATTTAAAATTTCTTTCGAAAACCGTTAAGACTAATTAGTTATATAATTAGTTGTATATATATATATATAGTTGTATATATATATATATATATGTATGGTACAATACAACTACAATTTCTCCATTCAGCCTACAAATTGAGTGTGTGTGTGTGTGTTATCGTGTTATTCGACTTGTGTTCATTTTCTTTTGTTTCTGTTTTTTTTTCTTTTGTTTTTTTTTTTTTTTTTAAATTCTTTGCTTTTTACTTGTGCTAAATACACTTCAAAATTAATGTGCAATTTGGGTTAAGTTTAGATCTTAAATTATTATTTCTTTTATGGGGTATTCATTGTGTTTGCTTGCTTATTGTTGTTGTTTGTTGTAGTTGTTGCTTGCCTGTAAATTATTAACTAAGCCATTATACAATAATGTTGCCATAACGTATGTACTTCATATATGCTTCAAAAAGTTCTATCTTCCAACTGGTAAACTTCTTCATTTCTCGATTTATTAAGCTGCTTAATAAACTCATTCCTACTGTCCCTCTATCGTTTTCTACTGTCTCGCTGTCTCTGTTACATTTGTAGTAGTATAGGCCTATTGCAATTAAAAAATTTATCTTTTCTTATAATTTTGTTTTTGTTTCTGCATCTCTTTGATTTTTTCCTTCTTGTTTCAATATAAATTTTATCCGCATGCATATCGTACATGCTCAGTATCTATGTGCTGCTGCAATTATTTCTGTTATCCGTTTGTTTACTTATTTTAAGTAATTTGTCACTCGTATTGTTTCCAGTTCATGCGTGTCCTTATTGTGTTTTCCTTCTTTGAACCAGCGACCTCACTTGAACCTCCTTCCTACTTGTACTTGTTCTCATTTTCGGTTAGTTTGTTTAGATGATTCACCTGCTGTTGTTGTTGCTCCGCAAGTTGTTGTTGCTGCTGTTGATGTTGCTGGTGCATACCTGTCGTATAGTAATACGGAAAAACATCTATACAATGTTTTCACAATAGAAAAAGGAAATTCAAATTACAAGTTGAAAACGAAAATGACAGAGGAAAAGTACAGTGAGAAGAGGGTGTGTAGGGACAAGACATTGCACACATATGGCATACGATTGTTCCTATAGAATATAAAATATTTGTCCGACATAATTTTGTTTATATGCAAGCTGCAAAGTGAAACTATTAATTGCGGGTTTTGAATAATAAAGTGTTTCCAGAACTCAATTTTTGATTGATCGTTCGATCAGCCGATCCCCAAATATGTACTGATAAGGAATGATATTATAATGACCCGAGTCTACATATGTATATACTTTCTTAACTCGCAGATGTCTCTTTCAATGCGTTAATATAAAATTCTGCATATATAATCTCTGCATAAATATAAAATTCTATGTTATATTTGAAAAATTCATAGTTTGCGCTAGTTTTGTATAATGTTGTGAATATTATTGTGAAGGCATTTAGTGTTGTAAAACTGGAAACGAATCGCCAATTGTGATATACTATTATTTAAAAAATAACTTATTTGGTGCACTTTTAAACATCATTTTACACAACAAGAATAAAAGAAACCTCTTTTCGATTGTTGACAAATTGAGAATTAAGGAGTAGCAAGAAATAAGGAGTAAGGAATAAGGAGATGTACAATGTGTGAATGTGAATTCGCTGACAATACACATTTTTTTGCATATAAATATGAAGATCGAATTTTCTGCTTCCAAATGGCCTTTTTACTCCCTGTTTATTACCTGACGCTGCTACAGCATTGTTTTGGGCATTTAGACTAGCGCTCAGCGTGGCCGACGAGGAGTTGGAGTCGGAGAGCGTGTTGGGACCAGCCGAGTGGGGTGTGCAAGGCAGAGCACCCATGGCCTTTTGGCGCACCTCGCGTATCTTCAGCTGCAGATCTTGTTTGCGTGGAAAGAGATCGATGTGCTTGGTCTGTGACAAGAGGATAAATACGATTAGGATTGAAAGTTCATATTCTATGCTTAGCAACACGCACCTGAAAGGCAATAGTGGCCTGAGAGGATGGGAATACGCCGTGCTCATTGAACAGCTGCATGACTAAATTGCGACGCGCTTCCAGGACCTTGCGGTGTCCCTTTTCGCTGGCATCGGATCGAGCGCTCTGCAACGGCGTTTTGGGCGTGCGTGGCGAACGGCCTGTTTGATCGCCGGTCTCAAGTTCTGCAGCAAATTGGAGATTAGTTCCAGGTGCATTTTGGCAAATACTACTTGGACTAGTTGGTTTACCTCTCAGATCATTGTTAAAATCGGCGCCAAAGAAACGCTGCGTGGTAGTTGGCGGCGCCGAGGCAGGCTCCTCAATCGAATCATCCTCGCTCACTAGAAAAGTTGCTAGTGATTAGCAATGGGAAATTATAATGATTGTGTTATAAATACGTACTTAGTTTCTGGACCGGCGGCTGCACTGCATTCTTTTTGCGATAATTGGTGCCATAGACGCGCGGCGGCGACGGCACAGCAATGGCGCTGGGCGACTGGCAATCCTCTGGCTTAAACTGTGGCAGCGCCTTGTACTTCTTCTCAAAGTCCACTTGCTTGAGCACACTGGAAAGGCAGTAGGAATTAGGTGGTGGATCATTTAAGATGCGACAACGGGCAACTTACTTGTTTACTTCATCGCTCTTCTTCTTGTGCGACACCACTGCAGGGGCAGAGGCGGGCACGCCCCTTATTGGCGACTTGACCGCCGAATTGTTGCCAACGGCCGTGGGCGTTAGTGGCTGCTGCTCATCACTGTTGGGCGTTGTGGTCGATGAGGTGGGCGTGGGCAGAGCCGAGCTGAGGCTGCTGCTGTTCACATGGCCAATGATGGGCGAGGAGGCGGCCACCTCCATCAGTGTTGGCGAGTGCAGCTGGCGTCCAATATGCTGCCCATTGCTGACCCCATAGCCGCCGCCTGTGCTGTTGTTGTCCGATTTGCTCTGAGCTGCATTTACACACACATACACACAAACAATAAGATTCAGTTAGGTGTTCCGTCAATGACTTTCGGCTACTCACATAAATTCTTGCGCCGCTGCAGCGGAGCACGTCCCAGTTGCGCTGGAGTTGGCGCCAATACAAACTGCTGACCATCAGTGTCCACATCAACATCCACGTCGGCATCTTCAGCAGCAGCATCGCAGCTGCGTTTGCCGCTCGTCAACTCGGACGATGCACTCAGATGATACGAGGCCGATTTGGGAGTGGATGGCATCGACTTGAACGACGGCGAACTAGCCGGCGGCTGATCCTGGCCATGGCTGCTGGGCGCATAGCCATGCAGGCGCATTGCTGTCTGCGCAACAACCTGCGGCAGTGGGGGCGGTGGCGCACCCTGCACGCCCAGACCACCATTGTGCTTCTTGAAAAGGTAGCCGGATCCAAATGCGTCCAGCTGCAGGTGCTCCAAGCCAGGCGCGTTCTGTTGATGAGGCGGCGGCAGCAATGGGTACTATAAATAATCCGAATTTTAGCAATTGCAAATATACCATGCTAGCGCGTTTATAATTCCTAACAGGATCAAGGTGCGCAAGTCAGACGCTAATTTGCAAAAATGCTTTGATAGCAAAGTCTGTTTATAATATAAGCAGGAGGTTCTTGAAGGAGTTATACAAAAATACTGCTCAGTTAAAATTCGTGATAAAACTATATAGATTTACTAGCTTGCATTCCCTGGCGGTACACGCTCCAAGAATAGAATTTGCCAAAATGGTCTGCTTACTACAGTAAAGTTCATCTTCCTAGCTCTTTTGTCTTTTCCTTTGGTCTATTCTACACCAAACTGCGTTTTTGTAACTATTATTGACGAGTATCCTGAATTTGCCGCTGATGAAGAATTTTTTTCAAAAACCTATTGTAAATACTTTAGACAGTTTCTTTTCCAGTCGCATAGACTAAATGTTTTCGTTTTTTTTATTCTACTTACCGGATGACCCATGGCAAAGAACATTTTCTGAGCTGGCGCTGGACCCGCCGTGCCAAGAATCTGTGCTGGCGCCGAGGCGGGCGGTGTGGCAATGCTAGCCGCATGCCCCAAGCTAACGGTTGCCGGGGAGTTGGGCACACAGGCCTGATGGGCTGCGGATGAGTTGGAGTTGATCATAAGAATGGTGGTGGCATCGTTGTTTATGCTCTTGTTGTTGTTGTTGTTGTTGCTATTATTATTATTATTAATGTTGTTGTTGTTGTTGGTGCTGTTTTTGTTATTTTTGTTGTCACTGTCGACAGTGGCTGTAATGGTTAGTTCATTGGCTTTATTAATATTATGATTTGATGCTGTCGCCATCGCCTTGGTTAGTACGGTCAGCGTGGGCGTGGTCGTGTTGGCCGTTGTGGTCAGAATGCGCGTATTGGCCGGCAGGGTGATTTTGTTGCAAGCATTGATGCTGATAAAGGATAATGGGCGCAATGTTGCGCCAGAATTTGAGACTGCAACATGCTGCTGATGATTGTAGCTGTTGACATCGGTGATGAGCAACATAGTTGCCGGCTGTTGCACAGTGCTTGGCGTTGTTGTTGCTGTTGCTAATTTTTCGATCGGTTGTTGCACCTGTTGATGTTGTTGTTGTTGTTGTTGCTCATTCGCAGCGTTGTCGTCGTCGTCGTCGTCATCGTCGTTCCCGTGCAACGTATCCAGCACTAAAGCGTCATACAAAATGGCCGCACGACCTGTGGCCTTGCTGGCATCTTGCAGTGTCAACAGTTTGCGGATTATTGAAGTTGTTGTTGTTGGATGGGTGTTAATATTGTTGGTAGTTGTTGTAGTTGTTGCAGCAGCAGCAGCAGCAGCGTTATTAGAATTATTGGAAAATTGAATAAGTTGCTCGTTACTGTGACTAGTTGTTGTTGTTGTTGTTGTGGTTGTTGTTGTTGTTGTTGTTGTAGTTGTTGATGTTAATGTTGTTGATGTCTGAGCTTTTGAACTTTTGAAAAATAATGGCGGCGGTGTGTTGTGTTTTGGTGTTATTGTTCTTTGTTGTGTGCGTATAATGGTAAAATGATTGCGCGGCAGCGACGAGGGCGTCGCTATGACCGTTGATGTTGGCGTCGACGTCAGCGTCGGCGTTGGCGTTGGCACGCGTGTTATAACTGTTGGCGGCGTCTCGACACGCCGCTGATGCAGATGCTTTAGCTGCTGGTGTGGTGAATTTGCCGGTTGTAGCGGCGTCAGAGAGCGCACTATGGTGAATTGCTTGCGCTTCAACGTAGGCGGATTCGCTGGCATGGCCGTGGGCATGGGTGTTGCTGGCTTAGCGATTGTATACTGTGCAATGTCATCGAAGTCTGTGGTCACACTGGCCAGCTCTGCCATAAACTGCTCGTCGTCATCTTCGTCATCGTCGTCATCCTCTTGGTCGTCGTCGACGTCTGCGTCGTCGGCTGCGCACGCGTCGTCGTCCTTGTCCGTTGCTAGATCAGTGCTGGGATTGACTTTGTCTTGTTTTTGTTTAGGTTTGAGTTCTTTTGCTTTTCGAGTGTGTGGTGAAATGTGCGTGAGAGATAGCAATGGACGAGGTAAAAGCGTAAGTTGAGCAATTGTGAATGGGTGACAATTGTGTGTTTTTATGTGTGGGTTTTATGCGAGCGTTTGGAGAAATAGAGAGAAAGATGTATTGCATAAAGTTTTTGTTAAAAAAAAAAAAAAACAAACAAACAACTTTTAAGATGAACTTCAGTTAAATACGTTAGATGCAAATGGGTGGGGGCGCGGCGAAGGTTAATTGGATTCAATTTTGCCTTTGGTATACAATATTTAAATAAATTAAGTACTCAACATCAAATCATAGTCATAAATAAAGCCAATATATATGTATATATATATTTTGGTAATTAATAAAAGCAAAAACAACAATATAAGGCTACCAACAGTTTAAAAATAAACAATAAGAAATTAAACTCAATAGAGGAATACAAATATACATATGTATATATTATTATGGTAATTCGTATTTTTCTGCTTCTGCTTCTGGCTGTAAACTCACCTCTGACATCGGTCGGACTGCAGAGCGTATGCGGCATGGGATAGTGATATTGCTTTTGACTGAGAGCCGGCGCAATTGGCACATTGAAATTAAAGATGGCGCCGACAGCGCTGCTGGGCGTTGGTGCGCTAATCACGCCCCCCGAAGTCGCTCCAGCATTGCCACCATTCAGTTTGTAGGGCGATGGCGGCTCCTGTTTGATGTCTTCCTGCTTGATGTGTGGAGGCAGCTGTTGCTCATCCGATTTGGAACCGGAAGAGCTGCTGCCCTTTGGACTGATGGGCATCGATTTGAAGGCGCCGCCTAAGGAACAATCAAAGATGAAAAAAAGAAACAATGAGCAACTGTTGCTTATTGAAGCTAATTGAGATTTGTGCTTGCTCGCCTGTGGGTTGGAATGGTGTTACACCGATTGGATTCTTGGGACTAGTGTAGTGCGTGAACATGGGCATCTGCGGATACGGCAGCATGGTGCTCTCCAGACCCGGATGGGCCTTAATGGCCTTTGGCTTCAAAGTTATCTCGCGCTCTGCGCTGGATGCCGGAGCGGACATAGTCTGGCCATTGCAGAGACTCGCATGATCTTCCTGGGTGCGCTAAAAAAGTGTAGGATAGAAATGAATGAGCACAGCTGGTAATAAAAGTGAGGCAATCATACACCCGAATACTATAACAGTTACCCTGAGTATGTAGTATGAGTAGTATGTATTGCCCAGATTGATGGGAATGGGGATTTTGACCCGCTTTCATTTTAGTTGGTCAGTTTTAAAGCTTACCTGTTCCGCATCCGTCTGGATCTGTTGCTGCTGCTGCTTGCGATAGTCGTAGGGCGCTTCATCCATGTCCAAGTCGTTAACGCGTTCGCGGCATTGCAGATCCAGTTTCGTGGGCTGCTGCTCATCCTCGACGACAAGCATTTGCTCATCCTCATCGGACTGCAGTTCGTTCTTGAGCTGCTTGGTCTTGCAGTTACCTTGCGACTGGCCTGCAATGGTTGTGGGCGTCTCTTCGCATGCAATGTTGTAGGTGTCAATGGTCAGTGGGATGATATCGCCCTGTAGCTCGACGGCTTGGGCACCGCCGCTGCCGCTGCCGCCGGGTGTGGAGGGGCACAAGTCATCCTCCAACGAATCGGAGCCATCCACAGAAACCAGACGCTGTTTGTCTTCGTTTGTGGCATTGCCGGACGAGGAAGCGCCACCCTTGCCCGATGTCGAGGATTTGCGGCGATCCTTGGAGCACCATTTCCAGTCCGGATGCAACTGAAAATGCGCATCCTTCACTGACTTGGCCAGCTCATGATACTGGGCCTTCTGGTCCGGCTTCAACGCATACCACCATTCGCCCAAGATTTTGCTAACCGTGCGATTGTCCTGATTGGGATGCTTCTTGTGCACCATCTTGCGATGCTTCTTCGAGAATATCATAAAGGCGTTCATCGGTCGACGTATCTTCTTGCCTGCGGCCGCCGCAGACTGTTGCTGTTGTTGTTGTTGCTGCTGTTGCTGCTGCTGCTGCAGCGCACTAAGCGACTGACTGCGCCGCTTGGCCGCCGAGGTCGTTGGGGCACCGGCTGCCCCTTCGCTGGCATCATGGCAGTCGTCCAGTTTGCGTATGTTGCTGTTGTAGGTGGGCAGTCGCATGGCTGCCGTCGGTGCCTTTTTGCCATTCGATATGGCTGGCGCGCAGGTCGTGGACTCAAACACATCATCGTCCAGCTGTTCATCGGGCTCATCAGCTTCATCCGGCACACTGGTCGTAGATGCTGCTGCTGCCGCCGCCGCCGCCGCTGCTGCTGCTGCAGCTGCCTTTGCATCGTTCATGGAACAGTTAAGCGGCTTGCCGGGCGATGCCATCGGCGCGGGCACAATCAAGTGATTGTTGTTGTGATTGAGCGGCGGTTGCTGTTGCTGTGCTGCTGCTGCTGCTGCTGCTGTTATCGACGGCATTGAGGGAGTTTGCTGCGACGACAACTGTTGCTGCTGTGTGTGCTGCTGATGTTGCTGCTGGTGGTGCAACATGGCCACGCTGTAGTTGCTGTTAGTGGTTGTTGTTGTCACCGCTGTCGCTGGAGGTGCTTTGGTCATGGCTGGCATTTGCGGCAGTAGCTTTTGCCACGGATAGCTAGCCGCATTGTAGCCTGAAAAGGACAAAAAAGAGTGTAAGGATTCGAATACAATTTTCAAAAATTTTAACGCGGATCGTATAAGATCTTATAATGACTAACTTTCGACTCATAACCACAGATTTATTTCCGTAGAGATATTTTCATTGAGCCACCTGAAGGCGAAACATGTGTGAAGTCGGTTTGGATTACTTTAAATGAAAGCTAGGCTTAGGCAAAGTATTAGAAGAAGAGCACAACTTTGACTTATAGATGAAAGAATATTTTAGAATTCTTTTTTTTTTTTTGGCGGTTTTTAACAATACAAATACAAGAAGTTATTGCTTTGGTTGATTTGCGAGACCTGATGATAAATTACAACGGAATTGCAAAACTTATTTTGGTTAAACAAAAACTAAATCTGTAGAAACCTGAAACTGTACATTAATATTTTGTTTGCAATGCGTAACTAATATAAACAAATGATTGTATATTTTTGTATTTTACAATTTACAAACTCGCATCGATTCGCGAAACTGTTTAATATTTTCGTTTTAGGTAAGCATTCTATAACAACATTTAAGCTGAAAGTCCAACTGTCCCCTTTTACATCGTCTTTAAAATTATAACTGCATTTAACCGATAATTCATAATCATAGAGTCAAATTTGTTAACGATTTGTAGGCACGCGACTATTTAAATGACTCGCAAAAGGTCAACCGTTTTTTGTGGCACTCACCGTTTTTTGGCAATGCATTGTCCGTGGGCACAGCCACTGTTACGGATGTAGGCGTGGTTGGCGGATGTGAATGAAACGTAACCGATGTGGGCGGCGGCGGCGGCGGGGGTTGCTGCTGCTGCTGCTGCTGCTCAACGGAAGCAGGCAATGAATTCTGCGAATGAATCTGCGTCTGTTGGGCCGCATTCACGATGACAGGATGAAAGGTCTGATGCCCGGCCGTGGATACAACAACATGCTGCTGCTGCTGCTGCTGCTGTTGATTTGGTGCCGACTGTTGCAGTTGCTGCTGTTGTTGTTGTTGCTGCTGCTGCTGCTGCTGTTGGCTGCTGGAGATGCGTATGACGCTGGTCGCATGGCCGACGGTGCTGCTGCTGGGCGGAGCTGGTGGAGCCGGCAGGGCATTGAGATGAGCGGCAGGTGGCTGTTGTTGTTGTTGTTGTTGCTGCTGCTGCTGCTGTGTAGGCGGTGCATGCATCACCAGCGAAACGGCCGCCGTTTGTGGCGGTGGTGGAGGTTGTTGTTGCTGCTGCTGCTGCTGCACAGCTTGACTGCTCTCCCAGCCATTGTTGCTGTTGTTGTTGTTCGTATTGTACAACACTGGACTGGGTGTTGTCGTCACATGTTGCTGCTGCTGCTGCAGTAGTTGCTGTTGTTGTTGTTGCTGCTGCTGCGACTGGTTCGCAATGGGCGTAAAGAAATTTTGCCTATGATTGGACACATTGACCGGGGAGTGGGCGATGGCATTCAGTGGATGATGATTCACGGGTGATGTATACGATGGCGTTGCAGAGCGCGAGCTGCTCAGTGACACTGCAGATAGAAAGATAGAGTGACAGAGAAAGAGAGAGGGCGAGAGAAGGGGAGGGGTAATATTAGATATTTGTTGGAATCACGATTGTTTTCGTTTTAGTTTTTATTACATAAGCACTGTAAATATAATTTAGCGCCCAGCTCAAAGTCCTGGAACGCGTTCATATCGCTGTCGCTGCCACTGCCCCCTTTGCTGCCGTTGCTGCTGCTCACTGCTTGGCTGCCCCCTCCTCAGTTAAAGAACAAGCACTTTGATTGGCATCACTTTCGGCGCATATTTTCGTATTTAATTTGCTTGAAAACTTTTTGTCGTCGTTGTCAAATTCGTTTTGTCTGCTGCATTCGCATCGGTATTCACTTTTTTTTTTTGCTTTTGCGCCGCGTTCTGTTCTGTCTTCTTGCCTTGCCTTTGACAGTTTTCAACATAAAATGCGACGACGACGTCAAAAGAACAGCCAGCAATTCAAGTGAGCGGCCAGCAACAGCATAAACTGAGCGCCGCTCTCACAATCGTCAGTTGTTCGCTCATTTTGCTCTCTTGGGCTCACTCACGACGTCCATGTTTGTTTACCTGTTGTGTCTGTTACTGTTTGGCTGTGTGGGTGCTGTGCTGCTAGCTGTTGTGTGTTGGAAATGTCCGTGTGTGTATGTCAGTGTGTGCGTGTGAGTGCGCTCTCTCAAGTGCATTTTTGTTTAGGTAAAAACGAATCAAAGGCAGGGCAAATAACGAGAAAAGAAGAATCTGTTGCGCTTCGCACGCAGCGCGCTTTTGTTTCGGCTGCGCTGCATTGTTCGTTTCAAGTGGCGGCGTCGACGTCGCTGCATTGATCGCTTGCAGGTGCATTGGAATGCGTACGCGTCGCTGTCGACGTCGCTGCGTCTGCATTTTGCTTTTGCGTGTAAATCACGCTGCGGTCATACTTTCAAGTGGCTAGAAGAGCTAACGTTGTTGTTATTGTTGCTGCTGCACGCACACGTCAAACAATAGAACCCCTCATCGGCCACGGCCCCTGAGAACACCTTAACAAAACCAACGACCTTTATCCAGAGAGTTGTGCATGTGTGCCTATCAGTGAGTGGTTCTGTGTGTGTGTATGTGTGTATTGATGTGTATAATATGGTCAGCAACGGCGCTGTTGCTATAAAACTTTATGATAGGCATTTTTATTAGGAATTGGAAATTCATTCGGACCAATGTGAAAGTCTAAGCAGCACCAATCTTTCAAATACGCTACACCCAAATATGTCGGGTACACTACAAGTTTAACTCCATTTACGATATATTTACATGTATATACTAATTTTTCGCATGTACACCCTAGAAAATTTGCATTAAAGTTACAGAATAAATGATGATTGTTCGCTCTTCGCTCTTGAGAACTCTACTTGTGGTTTTGTGGACATCATAATCATATAAAAACAATTATTTTACTCCGATTGTATGAATAAAAAAAAAAAAAAAATATATATATATATATATATATATATTTAAATATATTTTTAGCCAATGACTAATTGAGAGTTTGAACTATGTTTTGCTAACTTTAATTTCATTTAAAAAAAAAAAATCTCTCAAGATGCTTAAATTATTTGAGTGTAGCGCATTAAATAGTCTCTTTCGCCGAAGCTAAACGCACATTTCTAGAAGCGCCTTAGAAAACAGGCCAGAACCGCCTAAATGCAGTCGAACCTGCGCCGCGCTCCGATCTGCTTTTGTGCGTTTGTAGCTGTGTGGGTAATTGCGTGAACACAGACAGATTAACAGCTAAGGCTGGCGCTCAGTTGGGAACGAGGACTAGCTGGGAAAGCCAGCCTTGAAAATGAATGCAAGCAAAGTATGAATAAATTTCGAAAAAAAAAAAAAAACAAAATGTGTTGCTTTTATGATTAAACTGCGGAGAATCGACAGCAACAGGGCTGCGGCGTCATAAAAGTCAAGAGGTGTGAGTTGCACTTACCTAACATGGCGGCCACATCGGTCTCCTCCTGATCATAGCGACCCGTGACCCGATGGTTGGGCGACGTTTCCGAATCGCGAGAGTTGTCCTCATCGTTTTGCGTCTTGCTGCTCGAGCGGCTATCACTAAAAGAGATTGAAAGAGAGAGAGAGAGAGAGAGAGAGACCAAAACGATAAAGAGAGCATTAGAACAGCAGCGATCACCGCAGAGCATTTACGTTTAGAGGCGCACCTGAGAAAACGACCCGGCCCCGTTGAAGAGGGCAGCGCATTGTTGCCCTTCTGATTCAAATGTCTCGAACAATAGCCCCGCCGCTGAGATTCTTTCATGCACAGCATGCAGAGACGTCGCCATTGCTTGCCATTGTACTTCTTGCGCACTCCGGATTCCGATTCCACAATGTCGCCCTTCTTGAAGCGATGCGGCGTCGTTGCCTGAGATCTGTCAACGAAAATACTCTCCTTAATACACACACACACATGCACATTGGTTGTAATTAATGTATTGAGTTTAAGCAATGCTCGAAATAACGTCAACTAAAAGGGTTACGACCGCAGACCGTGCAGTCAACGCCGGCAGCGAGCAAAGCTTTTGCTGCTCTCTTAATAACAAATTCAAGAGAACGTGTGCCGAAATTATAAATATAACGAGATTCTCTTAAGCGCCAGCATATTGATATGGCAGCATTTACACCCTTTCCCATCCAGAATTGGCATCATTCCAGGCAGCCGAGTATATGAACGCGTCGATCTCGATAACTACGATGCTTGTACTTCTTTCGATATCTTCTTCCGTTTCAATAATATCGATACAAATCGATTTTGGTACATGGTTCATAAAGGATAATTTGAAAATTTCTGTCCGTACAGGCATAAAACTTGTTATCTAGTTGTTTGTAAACCAAGTAACTGAATATCTCTCTCTCCTTACTATCTTGTCTCAAATGATGTTCCACGCAGATATTTCAAAACGAGTTGGAGATCTATCGCATGGTAAACAAACAATCGATTATTGAAAACTAATGGAGTTTCCTGGTGGAATTCCTTCCTAGTTCTTTCAGTTTGTCGTTCATCAATCAGTCAGTCAGTCAATCGTTCGGGGCAAACACTTTGACATAGATTTAGATATATACGTATTAGATTTTGAACTTTCGTTCCATATCTATGACGTAGGCAAGTTAGTTTTCTATCTGATGCACTGATGAAATATCCATATAAACGTTCTTACCTTGGAGTTGCTGGATGAGATCGTGGTGTCAGCCTCTGATCAAGTAAGCTGGATGTGCTGCCGCGGCTCTGCATGCTGCTGCGCTTACTGCCGGCGCTCATCTTCTCGGCATCCACATCCCCGGCGGCCGGTGAATAGTCGATGCCGACGCGCTTTAGCTCATCATCGGAGTCGTAGTCGTCGTAGCCGCGCTGCTGCTGCTGTTGTTGTTGTTGTTGCTGTTGTTGCGCTGGCGATGGCACGTGCATTTTCAGTGGCTGGTGATGGTGCTGCTGCTGGCCATTGCTGCCCGGCGAGATCACAATGTCCGGCAGACCATTGGCCTGCTGGTGGTGGTGGTGCTGCTGCTGCTCCACAAGGGCCAACGGCGGCGGCGGTGGCACCGCACCGCCCTGGAACGGCGACGTGGCAGCCGCTCGATAATACTCATGTTTTTGGAGCTGCTGTCCACCGGTTGGCGCGCTCGTTGGCAGCTTGCCATCGTAGCGCGTGGCCACAAAGGCCTTTGGGTATACCACACTGCTGCTGCCACCGGTTGACGGCTCCGGTTTCCGTTTGATGCCTATTGCCGGCGGTGTTGCCGTGGGCGTCAGCTCGTTCAGCTCATCCCACCAGGGCGGCAGCAGCAGGCGCAAATCCGCGCGACGCACAACTTTTGTATTGGGCTACAATGGAAATTCAATAAACATATTGCAATCAATACCTGACTATTTCCTCAAGGGTTTCTATCCTACATAATACTAGTGGAATTTTCCGAAAACCCTCCTGTGGCTAAAGTCAATCAATAAATCTAAACTTAGAGGAAATCTGAGAATCTGGAAGTTTTTCGAAATACATTTAAATGAGATTTTCAGTTTTACTTCTATTTGTTTGTTTTAAAGCTTTAAAATTTATTTGAATTTTTTTTTTTGTAAATTTTAAACAATTATTATTTAAATTTTTAATTAGTTAGGGTTAAAATTCAAACCGATCTATAATCAAGTAAAAATATTTCTGTTTAGAACTTAAGCTTAACTATCGTATAATTTTAATTTGAGTTGATATATTCTCCACCTTGCACTTACCAATTCATCATTGACTAATTGCACGGTATATTGCTTGGTTCCCTGGTTGATCTCCATAATGATGCCCTCCACATATACACAGTCCACGGTGCGTCCTTCCAGACTTTGACGCACACAGACGCGAGCCTCCAGCGTGATCTGCAGTAGCAAAGTTTGAGTTAGGATTTCTCGATAGATCTGTAAGAGAGGGTAGTTTGGCACTTACATCAGCCATCGGTGGACTGGCATCCAGTATCACATTGTAGCGTCCCTGCTGCAGCACATCCTGATACAGTTGCTGACCAAATTCGGTGGCATCGAATTTCACGAGTATTGAGTGGGGCGTGGCTGTGGGCGTGGTCATGTTTGTTGCCTCTTGCACTTGCTGTATTTTGCCGGGCGCATAGCATTTGCCCACTTTGGCTAGGACACGCGTGTTGGTCCATTCGCTGAGATCGAGTAGAGCAACAGGCTCGTGTTGCTGCTGCGGCTGCTGTTGCTGCTGTTGGTGCAACTGCAACTGCGTCTGTTGCTGTTGTTGTTGTTCCTGTACATGTTGCTGATGGTGTGAGTTAAAGCTAAAACGTGGTTGCTGCTGTTGCTGCTGGTGTTGTTGATAGTAGACGGGCGTGTGTGTGCGCGAATGATTGATTGCTGCATGATTGTTGATGTTGCTATTGTTGCTGCTGGCAACATGTTGCTTGTAAGTACTAGTCGCATGTTGCAGCGGCGAAGCGATTATAATACGTTGTTGCTGCTGTTGCTGCTGCTGCAGATGTTGCTGTTGCTGCCTGATTTCATTGCTGTTGCCGGCGCCTGCACCTGCACAATTCAATGCTGACGGTGGACTGACAATCATGCTGCGCAAAGCTAACGCACTTTGCTGCACGGCAGCAATATTGCCATTGGAGAGCGCATCGTTGCCATTGCCATTCGTCTCGGCGGGTTTTTGTTGCTTGTACATCGTGTGCTGTTGCTGATGCAATTGCTGCGACTGGTGTTGCTGTTGCTGTTGCTCGGCTTTGTCCAGCTCAGCTGGATCAAATTTTCGTTTCTTGGGATGCTGGCGCGGCTGTGTTGGCTGCTGAGGTGTTGTTGCTGTTTGTAACTGTAATTGTGGCTGAAACAAAACATGTTGCTGCTGCTGCTGATGCTGATGTTGCTGCTGTTGTGGTGTCTCGACTGCTGCTGCTGCTGCTGCTGCTGTAGTTGTTGCCGTCGTTGTTGTTGTTGCTGTTGGTATACCGGCGGCTGCAGTTGTTGGTATAACCATTGTGTTGGCGGCAACAACAAAATGTTGCTGCTGCTGCTGATGGAGATGTTTATTTGTTATGACATAAGTTTCGCCAGCGGCAATTGTGGCAACTGCTGCTCCAGTGTGTGTTGCTGTTGCTGCTGCTGTTCCATGGGCAGCGCTGAGCATCTTAGTTGATGTTGCTCTCCTCGTTGTGGTCGTTCCAATTGTAGCAGCAACATGTGTGTGGCTTATTTGTTGCTCTCGTTGCTTTTGTTCCTAATGTTGGCTAGTGTCGGTCGGCCCCTTGCTATTGCTGTTGCTATTAGAATTGTAGTTGTAATTGGTGTTGTTGTGCAACGATATTGCCCGCAACATCTGCAACATCATTTGGCATGGCCGCCTGCAAGAGAAGAAGAAACAAGCATTAATTTGCATTAAGTTGACAAGCGAAAACACATTTAAATCGGCGCCCAATGGCCAAAATGTCATTTCATAATTAGCGCAATCCGCATCCTGACAATTCTGACATCCTGGCGCTACAACTTCGGTTAATGGCGCCTGTCGCCAGGGCAATAAAATTCAATCTCGGACCAAAAATACAGTTGCAATGCTGAGTATATACACATCTATGCTTGTTTATATACATGTTTGCGTACTGTGTGTGCGTGTGTGTGTGTGTATTTGTGTGCGACGACGACGACAACGGAAACAATTTAATTTACACAGCCGTCCAGGCGTGGTCGGGTGTCGGTTCTGGGATCCTGGCGTAGGAGGCGTTTTTATTTGCAAGGAGTAAAAATAAAATACTCGCATAAGTGATACTTGAAACATTTTATGCCAAAGCCGCATACCATCAAAGCACACCCCACACACACACACACACACACACAGCCACACTCACACACACAGACGCACACAGCCAAACGTCATTCATTTGCACAACAACTCAGTACAGTCGCATGAAAAATTAAAATCATCTGGCAACCCCACACAGAAAGAGGCAAACAGCTAAAAGCCCGAGAAACCAATTTGCCAGAGCTGCAGACGTCGAAGGGCGACATTAAATACAGTGGGCAATTTCTCATTGATTTTTATTAAATTTGGCAAAGCTACATTTTGTAAAGCTTGGCAATTTAATAACAAATTAAATTTAAGTGATGATTCAATAAATTTAAAATTCAATGAATGCAACAACAATATAAATTTCCAATCTGCAAACATCCTAAAAATGACATTCTGTGAAATTGCAATACATTGTATGTTTAATGGTGAAACCCCCGAACATGTCAAATATATCGATTAATCGACACAAATCCATTATTTGAATGGGTTAACTAATCAATAATCACATATTATAAAAGCAACTCGTTATTAATGAACATAAATGTGTGTTACTATGATATTTAACAGATTGTGAGTTCTAATTAGAAATAACAGCCTGTTTTATAGTTTGCCAATTGCTAAAATTACAAAGAAAAGTTGGTCTAATGAAGTTAATTTTATGATCTACAGTATTTTGTGCTTTTCTGCTGATTTATGTCATGTGTTTTGATTGAAAAACCCCACTGCGCTTGATGCTGCTGCCTCGACATTGACAATCCAAGTACAGTGAAAGCTCTTCTAACCGAACTCCAATCGTTGCTTTCTCCGTTTATGGGATCGGTCCGCAATGGAAGCTTTCCCTGTAGTTGGCGGGGGAGGGAGTCTATTCAGGCGCAGAGTTACCAGATGAATTGCAGACATTGCAGACGTAAAACCAGTAATAAATTTGCTTTTAAGAAAAAAGTGATTTTAGATATGCAAAACTAGAATCTGTCGCTGGCAATTGATTGGCCATTTGTCATTATTTGCTGCCTTATCTGCGCCTCACTGTTATCGGTGCAAGAACAAATTCAGGCCAAACATTCTTATGAAAAACATATTTTTATTACCTAAAATTTAAAAAAGATAATAAGAATCAAAATAAATATTCTATCTACTAAATTAATATTCTATCTCTTTTGAACCAGTCTTAAGAATATTAAGAATAAAAACATCATTTTCTTATGCATTCATCTGACAGATTACCTGAGTCTTGTTTGCCTGTACAAAAATTATAGCATACTCCCAGGCTGGTCGCGTATATCTCTTGCAGCATATACATATGTATGTGTGTGTGAGAGACGCAGTGTTGCCATATTTCGTCAAACCAATGCAATCGGCTTATCACTAATTTCCAACAAAACATCAACTCACTCGCTCGCTCTTTCTACCACATTTTCTCTGCCAGTGTCTATGACTGCAGGAAATGACTGCCACGCCCACTTTGGGCCACACGGTAGGACAACAACATAATAAAAAGCATTTGAAAAAAAAAGTTTACATAGCAACAGGAACAGTCTCGCGTTGTCCCGTGAGTTGTTGCTGCTGTTTATTTTTGCTGCATCTGTGACTGCGCTGCTGCTGTGCGGGACAAGTGCAATGATTGCTTTATTTCTTATTTCTCTCTTTGCTCTTTACAACTTTTCTTTTCATTACTGTTGGTTGCTAGGCTCAATCGCCTTGCAATTGTATGTGTGCGTGTGTTTCGGTGTATGTGGGAGAGTTTCTTAATCTGCGTTCCTTTCCATTCTCTCTTTATTATTGTTTTTGTATCAAGCTATGAAGCAGATTCTCTGATTTGGTGGTCAGCTTTTATGCAAAGAACAGCAATATATATGTATGCACATATTTTCTATGGCTGAGTCTGAGTCTGTGATGGTGTTCAGTTATAAAACACGACTCACAGTGTAGGCGAGTGGGTGGGTATCGAGTTTATTTTGCTTTGCAGTGCTACCGATGCGTGCTTAAGTAAATTTACCATATGCATGGCTGGCTATTTGGTGTGACCTCCACAACTTCACTCCACTACCTTCAGTCCAGCCAACTGAACTGCAGCCACTCGTCTGCCAATCAGTCTGTGCTTTGGCTCGCATGCACACAGCTTCTGATACAGTGACGTTCAAAAAAGATGCCACATTTTCTACTCAACTCGTTTATGCTAACAATATACACATCTATCCCAGCAAATGTTGTTTTTATTTAATTCGAGTTTGTCAATCGATTCCCTGTTTGTATGTATGCATGTATGTATATGAATCATTCAGAGCTTGACTTAGTGAAACTCGAGAAAGGGAACACATATTTATATTAGTGGTTGCATTTATTTGGCCACTACTGTATCAGTTGGTAGTTGTGGGTCACTCACAGTATTCATTTTAAGTTTTGACCACAGACCAAAAAAGTGATTAGGTCTGTGTGCACTTATTACAGTTATCGGCGCTTTGCTCAAAATCTGTGACCGTCAGTGATAATCCAATTTGTATAATTACAATGCAGATGGCAACAACGCCACAGTACACGTAAAGGTGGACTAATAGAGTATTATAAGTTATGGGTGAAGTATATAACAGGGTATCTTCTTGTTAAGCATTCTTGTTTATTGTTATTGATCATGGTCATTATAAAGTGCTTCGCAAGTGCAGTTGACAATTGTTCTTTGTTGTTGTCTATTGACATGTTCAGTTTAATGATGCTTTAATTCACTCACGCCCGTTACAATGTGCTATTGATTCAATGCAGTCATGTTAAATTCTAAGCAAAGCATTTATGGGTAGAACACACACACACACACACACACATACATACATATGTATATGTTTGCGCATATATATATATTGTATGTGAAATAAATTTGTTATGATTTGAATCGTAATTAGTCCAGAGAGTTCTTTGAACCTTAACGGTAGTTGTTTTCGTATCGTGTTTTGGCGCCAAATCAAAACGAAAGCGAAGCAAAAAAGCAGAAGTGTAAAATGCACTCAACACTCAGACAGGCGCAGAGGCTGCGCACAGAAAAACCGAAGCAGAGCCAAAAATGCAAGCCATAAACTTAATGCAGACGGAGCGTACGTCGTAGCCGCTGCTGGTGTCGCTCCTTGCAGCCATACTCTTCCCACGCATACACACATTGCATTCGATGCTAACGGCGCTGCCCGCACGCACTTACATTGACATGCACACCTATGCATATACACAAACTTGCACACACACTTACATGCAGAGCAACGGTAGCAGTCTGACTGTGCTTGGCTGCTGCAAAGTCAGTAACCCCACTCGTTGACAGCAGCAACAAATAACAACAAAAATGGCAGCGGGAGCAGCAGCACTAGACGAGAGCGCAAGAGTGGGGCAGACAATAGCGGGCACCAGAGAGCGAGAGCAAGAGCGAACGCTCAGTTGGCATGCGAATTTGTGTGCTGTGATTTTTATGTTGTTGCCAACTCGTCAGGAGTCTTCCCATTCTCTATAATAGCGACAACAACAACAACCGCCGCAACAAAACTCGTTGTCATTCAAAGCATAGCAAAATGTAAAAACTGCAAGCGCAGCATCATCAAGTGAGAGTGAGTTGGCCGCAAATGTTTCTGGTGAGCGGAACGGGGAGATCTTTTGCGGGTGCCGACCCACACCACATACACCCTACAGCATCATAGCGCACCCCACACTTGAAAAAAAGCGACAACAGCAACGCCGCTCATTTGCGTAGAGTAAATGCAAACAAGTCGTGCGTTGTTCGTCCCATACGAGTCACACACACACACCCACGCGCACGCATGAATGCAATTCGCGCCAGAGGCAGAGAGATATAGAGAGAGAGAAAGAGAGAGAGAAAGAAAGAGAGAGAGCGCGAGAGAGAGAGAGCGAGAGAGGGGAGAGAGAAAGAACTTACATTGGCGCGTGTAACAGCAGACTTAAACACAGTGCCGCGTAAAAAAGTGAGTACAATTCGAATTCAATTAGGTGAAAAAACAAAATTCAGTTCGTTTTTGAAGCAATATTGTGCACGCCTAAAATTTTGTGAAACCATTAGAATTTTTTAGTTTTTAGTTTTCCACAGCATTAGCAATGAATAATGTGATGCAAATATGTGTACACATTTTATTTGCCATCAGTGTAGGTCAGCTCGTTCCCTGTGAGCATGCAGTTTTGTTATTGCTGCTGCACCAGCCTTTACTCATTTTTAGCTTTTTGCCTTTGCATGGCGTAAATTATTCGTATGCGCTGTGTTTGAGCTTGCGTTGTTTTTGTTGTTATTGCCAAGTGTGGGGTGCACTGGTAAAAAAAAAAAGAAAAAGAAGAATGAAGACTGCAGAAGAGGCGCGGTGCGGATTAGGGCAGCAGATTGGGGGTCGCACTGCACAATCCGTGTGCACTAAAAGAATAAGTATGTGTGCAAGTATGCACATGTGTGCGAGTTATTTCATCTGTGTGTTGGTTTGCTGCCTGCCTGGCAACGAGCAGTGCGAGAAAATGTTAAGCAAAAATCGACGACAAGGAATATGGTCGAATGAAAACGTACGAGAAGTATCAAGGCCCTTG